ACCAGGGGTTTGCCGAGACAGGGGGACAAGGGGGGGGCAGGCATGAAAGGCACTCCAGGAGGACGGGGCGCCCTGAGGATGGGGACCCTCCACGTCCAGGCCTCCTCCCCTGGCTCCCACCTCCAGGGGTGTCTGGAATCCCATCAGGGAAGTCAGCAACGCAGGAGCTCTGGGCGGTGCAGGGTGCAGCCAGCCAGTGCGCGCGCTGGGCTTACCTTTTGCTATGGAAGGTTCCCCAGGTGACCCCAGCTTGCAGCGAGCGTTCACTGGATTCACTTTTCCAGGGGCATCGGTGTCTTCAGGAGGTCTAGAGATCTAAGGAATGACCGCCTCGTGGTAGGGGTCCAAGATAGCTCTGCGACAGGGGAGAGCGCACCAGAGTTGGGACCAGAACCACCGGGCCCAGGCCGGTGAGGGACCCCTGACTTCCTGGGCACCTCCAGTCCCACTCACGCCGGGGGGCTGGGGCTCCCGGGGAGTGGCCATGAAACCACTCTGAAACCGGAAGGACCGCTCGTGCCTGAGGCCTCATTTAGACCTGGGAAGAAGCACATCTCAGCCTGAGTGTGCCGGCCTTCACACGTTCTCTGGATGCCACGTGGCTTTCCGTCTCAGCAGCTGGCTGTGCAGCCTTTTGGGGTGTCGGCGTCCTCCTGCACGAGCCCCCAGGTCAGGGCGCGCCGCGTGAGCAGGTGCGACACGGGCTGTGCGAGTCCTGGGGGAGGGGCCTGCTCACCGCCGCCCAGGGGCTCGTGCGACGGAGGAAAGGCCGCAGGAAGGTCCCCACTCCTGCGTACACGCACGTCCCCCTCGGGGCGGGCAGACCGCGGGCGCCCTGGTGCTCCGCAGCCTGCTGAGCGAAACTGGCCGGGGCCGGAGCTGGGATCATAGGCTGCAGGGACGGAAGGGGCCTGGGGATGTCCTCTGCACCCCTGCTCCAGAGACTGACTAAAGCCAGGGGGACGCCAGGCCCCACCACGGGCACGGCGCGGAGCGTGGCTGGGGGCGCCCAGCCTGTCCCCTTGCAGTGCCCTCTGTCTGCCCTGCTCCACTCTGCTGAGAAATGCCGCACGGCAGGCACCAGTCCCCGTGGCAACCGGCGCCCGGCCAGCCCCTCGCGCAGGTCTCACAGGTGTGGGTGGACTCCCTCCCCGCGGCTCCCGCCACGGCCACCGCTGGCCTGCTGGGGGCTACTGTGTGATGGGGCCACGGAGGGAGGCCGGCGCAGGTCCAGGCTCCTGCCGGGCGGTCTCGGCACAGACAGGAGAGCTGCTGTGTCCCCCGCGTGTGGACTCTAGTCAGGAGCCGTGGGGCCCTTCCTGGGCCAGGAAGCTGGAGACTCAGATCTCCCAGGTCCGGGGACTGGGCAAGGGCCATGGGGTTAGGAGAGCAGGGCTGGAAGGCTGCATCCCTCCAAAACTCAGAGGGAGGCCCTGGCTGGAGCAACAGAAATTCAGTTGGCCAAAGCTGGGGCAACATCAGAAATGGGAACTGTGAGATGCAATGGAAAGAGACTGAGCAGAAGTCCTTTGGGGAAGGGACATCAAAGGGCAAGGGGTACGAGAAGAGGAAATTTAAGATTACAGCCCTACCCCAGGTAGTGGGAGCCCGGGAGAAGGGTGGCAGGTGGGGGCTTCCTGGGGAGGCCCGAGCCCCAGGTGCAGGGCTCACGGGTACCGACCCGAGGAGGGGGAAATGAAGGGGTCACGGACACTGGGGGGGGGTGAGGAGGGGGATGGGCCAAGTTGGCTAGACCCCTTCCAGGGCCCTCCCAGTCTAGTCTGCAGGATTCCCCAAACTGTCTGAGCCAGAGACTGAAGGCAGAGTGAGGAGGCCATCTAGCGGCGGGGGCCGGTGGGGAGGCGGGGGCGGGCCCGGGAGGCGCCTCCTGGGGGGTGGGGGCAGAAGACAGGCAGCCACCTGTCCTCAGCAGGGATGCTGGTGAGGGATAGAGGGCTGGGCGGATGGAGGGGGGAGGGGAGGGAAGGAGGGAGGGACAGAAAGGTGGGCGGAGGAGTGGAGGGATGGTTGCAGATGACCACCAGAAAGAAGGGCAGAGCCCAGACGAACGAGAAATGGATCCTGAGTATCTGGGATGTCTGGCCAGGTCAGGCAGAGGCTGGGGTTTGGAACCTCTGACCCGCGTGGGGAGGGGGTCCGAATCGTCTGGAGGGGGAAAGGCAAAGAGAGGGAGCCATCTGGTGTCTGGAGGTGGAGGACAGCAGTGTCTGGTGTCTGGGAAGTGGGGAGGGGCGGGATGAACGGAAGGGGAAGTGGGGGGCTCACCGGCACCCTTGCTTCTAGGCAATAAATGCAAACTACAATTGAGTTCTGTCCAGATTTTCCCCCCAACCCACAACAGGGAGCAAATGCTGGGAAATAAGGGCATCACGGTCCACACTTCATTCTGGAGGACGGCCCGTCCGAGGGCAGGCGGCCCCTGGCAGGCTCTGGAGTGTCCTGGGCTGGCGGTGAGATGGAGGGGCGTCCTGGGGTGAGGAAGCCAGCAGGCCTGGGGACCCCCTAGTCGTCCCCAGTGAGGGCCAAGGAGTGAGCCCTTCCTGATCCGGGCCCAGAGGCAGCCCTCTGCGCCTGGCTCCCCCCAGGCTGCCGCTCTCTGCTGCTCAGGCTTCGGCCTCCGAGGGGCAAGCAGTGCGCCGGGGAGTGTCGTGTCGGGGCCGGAATCCCTGCACCTTCGGGAATCACGTGTCCTGGGCGCGCTCCATCAAGCTGGCCCAGTGCTCCACGCAGCATCCTGGGCCTTGGGCATGGGGTCATGACCCGGTGCTGGGGCCCCCTTTCTCCTGTGCCCGGGCTGCAAGGGAGATGCCCCGGAGGGAAAAGGAGGGGGGAGGGAGCCGGGAAGGCTGGAGTGTCCCCAGGGCCCCGTGGCTTCTCAAGGCCCGCACCGGGCAAGCGCTGGCACAAGATGGGTGTCCCCTCCGTGTCTGTCTTCCCTGGGAGCACAGACACACAGACACTCACAGCCTGGGCAAGGGGTCTGGCCCTTTATCAGCCGAATGGAGACTGTCCTGCCCCAGCAGGCCTTGATAGAATTGGGTGCTGCTTTCCCACCTTGCCCAGAGGGGGGCGTCCCCCTGAGAATATTGATTCTTCACAAACCATAGGATGGGGGGGGGGCAGGGGCAGAGCTTGGATCAACCCCTGGGGACCCGACAGCCTGAGCCCTGATATCGCTCAGCCTCTTCAAGGCCCAGCTAGGTGGCTCTCCAGATGCTCCCCTCCCTCAGCGCCCCCCCACCAAAGTCATCTGCACAGAGGCCTGCCTGGATTGCTGGGGACATCCCATTGTTTTGAGGGCCAAGCCTTGGCCCTGGCCTCTCCCACCTCCCTGGCTGGGCTGGGGTCCAGGGAGACCTTCAACTTCACAGAGGACACTCCAGGGCCAGCACTTCCATCCTCCACCAAGAGCCCTCCCTCCCTGGCTTTTTTCTAGAGTGATTCTTATCTATGAGTGAGATGGGGGTGGGAGTGAGAGGGGAGGGTGTGTTCTGCAAAATGGGGGATTTCAGGTTTTATTTTTCTGGCTTAAATAGGACTTCGGGTTTTCTTTTTTCCTGAAAGAAGTGCAGGGATTGGGGACTCCAGTATTGCCGGCTCTGAGCACTGTGCCCTCCGTGACCAAAACAAGGCTCCCCCAGGACGCTGCCCCATCCTGGGCTGCGACCCCTGGGACCCTGAGGGCTGGCTTGCCGAGCCCCCTGGAAAGCCAGCCAGGCCCGATGTGGAAGGAGCCTGAATTCCACATTCAGCTCATCCCTGGCCTGCACTTTGCTCCGATCGATTGATCAGTGGGGGTGGTGTGTGCACAGCCTTGCCCACTCACCACTGCCCCCAGGCACAATGGGCCTCCGCCCACCACGCAGGCCCCGGCACCGGTTCCCTTCTCTGAGCTGGGGTGCAGCACCCAGACACGCTTGGCCCAGCCAGCCCGACAGTCCTGCAGGCCACTCTGTACCAGCTCCTGAGCATGCCTGCATCCCATTTCCAGAGGGTTAAAAATAATGCATTAGCTGAAACACAATAAAGGAGCAGCATTTTCATATTTTTCTAAGGCGCTTGAAGCACTTCAAATAGCAATGCTTTAAGTTGTGGTCAGTGAGAATTACCAACATCCAAGGATGTTGAATATTCAGGAGGAGGCACAGACTCTCCGTCTTTAAAATGCAGGGAGACCTGGCCTGCATGATAAAGTCTCTGGAAAAAAAAAAAAAAAAAAAAAAAAAAAAAAACCTTTAAATAGGAACAGGGCAGTTGTGCCCCCCAAACTTTTGAGAAAATTTTTTTTTGATCCCCAAACTTGGGGGGGGGGGGTCTAGACTGTCCTTTAAAACTTAAGTTGGTTTTAACTGAAGCACCTACCATTCTGGAGAAAGGGAAGGGGGAACACCACGCTCTGCACAAAGCAGGGGGTAACTGGTGTTATCCTAAGGAGCGTGCCTCCTCCCTCCCGCCCACCTTTGTCTCAGGAAAGATTTTTTTTTTTTTTAACTCAAAGGCTTCAGGTGAAAATAAAGCAACTGCAGCAACAGAAAAAAAAATTTAGTCTTTTTTAGGGTTAAACATCAGAAGACAAGCTTGCGCTGCTTTGGCCAATCAGATACGCCCCTGCCAGCTATAATATAGCACCGAGGGCAGCCTGCCTCGCAAGCTCTTCAGGCTTGCTACCATTTAAAATCAGACTCTTTTTGTCTTTTGATTGCTGTCTCCAGCCCCAACTCCGATGTGTTCCGTTATCAGCGACCAGCAGCCTGCCGTTCCAGCCCCCGTCTGGGTGGGGATCGGGGGCCAGTCTCCCGCTGCAGCGGCGGGCGAGGTTATATAGGAAGAGAAAGAGCCAGGCAGAGAGCGAGGGAGCCAGCAGCAAGCCGAGCGAGGAAGGGAGAGCGCAAGCCCGAGCGCAAAGGCACACACACTCGCACTCGTGCACACAGACCCGCACGGGGACAGCGTGGAAGGCACCGGGCTCCGCGGACGAGATGCGGCTGCTGGCGAGATGTATGTTGGTGGTGCTCGTCTCTGCACTGCTGATGTGCTCGGGGCTGGCGTGCGGACCCGGCAGGGGATTTGGGAAGAGGCGGCACCCCAAAAAGCTGACCCCTTTAGCCTACAAGCAGTTTATCCCCAACGTGGCTGAGAAGACCCTAGGGGCCAGTGGAAGATATGAAGGGAAGATCTCGAGAAACTCCGAGCGATTTAAGGAACTCACCCCCAATTACAACCCCGACATCATATTTAAGGATGAAGAAAACACGGGAGCAGACCGGCTGATGACTCAGGTAGAAACCCAGCGCCGCGGCGTGGAATGTGCTGCTTTCACGGGGGCTGTGTGTAACCAGCCACTCCAGACTGAGTCTGTTTGCTCTTCAGGCAGATAGCAAGGCGACTTCACCCTCTCCCTCCCCACCCACCGGCCTACCTACCATCCCTTCCTCTTCTCGGAGGGGACTGGAGGTGAGGGGTCCAGCCGGAGAAGTTTCGGGCGGGGGTGGGGGGTCAGGATGGCAGGTGTGGTCCACCCATGGCCCTGATTTGCTCTGTCCTGCTGGGATGGCCTTCCCATCCTGCCCCAGCTCTGGCTTGCAACTTGGGGAGACCTTCACTCTGGGGGCATCTGCCCCTCCCAAGTTGGGAATGGAAATGGTGGAAGGGGGTCAGGAATCCCCCCATAAACATAAAGTGGCTTCCAGGTCACTGTACAAATGCAAGCCTTGGGCATGAGACAGGGGAGCGTACACGTTCTCCTTCTCCACTGTGCTTTTCTTTCCCACGATCACCCCCACCCCGCTGCCCCCCACCAAAGACGCTCAGTGGGAAAAGCCAGGAGGCAGTGCTGACAAAAGGCAGGGGCTCCCGAGGCGCCGCCTGGTCCCTGAGTGTCTCGCACAGCTCCATTGCACCCCGGGCAGTGGTGCCCATCAGAGTGTGAATGTATTGATATTTCTTTAAGGATGCGTTGCCATTCTCCCGAGCCCGCGGTCCTTGAGGGGAGGGACTTAGAACTTCCTGGCATTGCATCACTCCGGTCAACCTGCAGGCACAGGAATGAGGAGCGACTAGGTATTAGCGGGAGGGGGCTAGAACGGAAAGCCAAAGCCAAACACGCAACCCCCCTCCCTCCCCACCTCTGCCTGAGAGTTCTGGCTGCCAGTCTCCCCGCCAACGGTAGACTTTCTGAAACTCCAGGCACGTATAACTGAGCTAGAAATGGACTTCCTGGCAAATATAGGTCAACATCCTTTTTATTGCCCTATTAAAATATCCAAGTCCTACCTTTCGGGCTAGGAGCGCACCACAGCTGACGGAGCAGCGGCGGTGGGGCGCAAGTACAGGGGAGGGTGGGCGGGGAGGAGAGCCCCCTCCGGGCCGCTCGCTTCCCAGCCCGGTTCGGGGCCGCCAGGCCGGAGGGAGGAAGGAGAGGGGCAGCCGGAGCTGACGGAAGGGGCCGGAGGGAGCCAAGGAGAGGGTCCTTAGGCCCCCCGCCCCGCGCCCGCATCTGCTCGCGACCACCTTAAATCTGGACCGCGAGCGTGGACGCGCGCGCCTGAGCCCCAGAGCGGTGCGAGCCACAATGAACCCCGCGCAGGCCGCGGGGCGCGGGGGGCGCGGCCGGCTGCGGGGACTTCTCCGACCTGGGTCACCTCGCTCCCCGCGGGAGGGAGGCGGCCTTCCCCGAGTCCCTCGGAACCCGGGAAGAGGGAGGCGAGGCCAGGGAAGGCGGCGGGGCGGGAGGGGGACGGCGGATGGTCCCGCAGCCCGCGGGGTCGGGGTGCGCGCGCGGGGCTGCCGCGCGGGGCCGACGCGGGAGAGGGGCCCCCGGGGCCCGCTGCAGGTTGCAGAACCGCGCACCCCGGCGGCCGCCCCTCGGCGCCCCTTCCTCCGGGGTTAGCGGTCCCCGCGGCCGGGGCTCCGACGGCCGGGGCGGGCGGGGGCGGCGGGGGCGCGGCGCGGGCTCCGCCGCCTTCCCGGGCCCTCGGGCCCGGCGCCCGCGCCGACGCCCGGCCCCGGTCCCTCTTCCGGCCGCCCGCCCGCCGGGGACCCACGGCCGAGCGGCCCCGCGCCGGCCACTCTCGCCGCCGCGCGCGCTGGCAGCGTTTGAACTTCTGACCTTCTGTCAACTTCCCTCAGACGAACGAAACGAAAACAAATACTTTTTTTTTTCCTTAGGCAGCGGCCCTTCCCGTTCCCAGCACAAAAGGACGGGGGAGGGGCAGCCACCGTGGGGGTGGGGTGGGCAGAGCCAGGCCAGGACTGAATCACGCACCCCGCAAATGTCCCCTGAAAACGCGGTGGCTGGCGGGGCGCGCTGGCAGGCGCCCTGCGGGTTATCGTCTCTGGCCCGTCCTTCTTCCCGGCCTGGAAGAGTTGGGGCGCGGGCGCAGGACCGCTGGTGAGGGGCCTGGGGTGAAGGGGTGAAGCAGAGAACGCCTCCCCGGCCACAGGAGGTTAGCTCTCCTCGGGGACCTGTTCACCCGCCGGCCCCGTTTAAAACCACCACCTAGACTCTGTTCTCAGGCGCGCGCGTCCCTCCTCCCGGGCTGGCCGTCCCTCCGCGTCTCTGCGTGTCCCTGTCCCTCTAATGTGACTGCCGCCCAAGTCCCTCAACCATGGCAAGACCGTCCCCGGTGGAACTTTCAGAGCAGTTCTGGAACGCAGGAGCTCCTGGTTAATATTAACTCGGAGAGGGGGAAGCGCAGACAGACGCGCCTGGCCCGCAGGCGCGGGTGCCAGGCGCGGGTGCGGCGGCCTGAGGGCTCCGGGGGCAGGAGGCGGCCGCAGGGGCAGGGCCCGAGGGCCGCAGGGGGGACGGCCCGGGACGCCACGCCGAGTAGATTTCTGAGTGCGTGGCGGCCCGGCCCCGGCGCTCAGGTGTGGGTTTGAGGAGGGTGTTCCTCTTTGGCTAGGAGGGGTCTGTTTTCCCGGAGTGGGGGGAGGGGGGTGGAGACAGGTGTGCGGGGGCCGGGGGGGGGGTCTCTTTTGAAGTTGGGACACCCCTCCCCCGCACTGGGAAAGCCAGGCGGCCGCTGGCGGTGGCAGTCCTGCTCGGGCTTCTGGGCACGGCGCCGCTGCGAAGACCGCGGAGGAGGCGGGGGCTCAGGCGCGGGGAGCACCTTGGTCTCCGCCGACACAAAGCCCGGCCCGGCGGCCCCGCGGGGCTTTACGGTGGCTGCACCGAGCCGGGCTTGATTCGCGGCACACGACCCAGTGAATTGCTAACCGGCCTGGGCTTCCCAGCTTTGCCTGCGCCTCTCCCGCCCGCCGGGCGCACAGCGTCCTGCAGGCGCGGGCCCAGGCCGCGCCAGGCCTGGGGGAGCCTGGGGAGGGCGCGTGGGGAGCGGGGCGCCGCTCGGGCCTGGCTCGGCCTTGGGGCTCCCCGCCTGGGGCCCTCCACCTCGTGCCCAAGTGGCGCAGCTCCGGGCGCCGGGGGCCGGTACACGGCCTCTCCATCCCGCCCTCGGCTCACCAGCAGCCCCGTGGGACGCTGTGAAAGCTTCGTGTGACCCCCAAAAGAAGGGAGCCGAGGTGGCGCGGGGCTCGGGATGCGGGCTGTGTGCGTGTGCGTGTCGGCGGTGTGCGCCTGCGCAGCCGGCCTCCCAGCCCGGCTCTAAACTGACCCTGGTTTACTGATTGATTTTCATGTAAAACGCGTTCAGTCCTCAAGATGACCTCGCTTAAACTCTGCCCTTCCGACTTTTATTATTATTATTATTATTATTATTATTATTATTGAAGAAAATTTCTGGCAGGCCCAGAAACCTTGTCAGCGCTGACCGGTTAGCAGGGCCGCCCCCAAGTCCCTCACCCCCCCCCCATTTCTTGTATGTTTAACTCTACAACCATGTCACTGCTTTTTATTGCTGTCCAACACACAGGACTCTTCCTGTTGCGCAACCCTCACATCCCCGCAAAGCCAAAGCGCGGACAGCAGTACTTGCAAGAGCTCCCCGCCGGCTCGCTAGGAAAACAGTCCCCAAGCTGCTATTAGGATCCTCGACCGGGTCTTCCGTCCACCCCGCTTCCCAGGTTCCAAAGCCGAGCATGCGCGGCCTGACGGAGATCAGCCCTACCTTCTGCGGGAGGTCAACTTGAAATTGCCCCTCATCCCCGGGGTCTGTCTCTCCTGGGGATGCCCCTTGGTGATCCTGTCACCATTTCCCCTCATTTGAATCCCGCACCCCACCATCAGTGCAAACGCCCGGGTAGTGAGTTAGTACACGCACACACACTTGCCATGGCGCAGTTTTTTCTTGCATCCTTCTCTGGATGTGACCTGAGAATTACGAGGGGCTCCCCCAACCCCGAGTTCCACTTCGCCCTGGTCTGTGTCCTGCCCATTCAGTGTTTCTTCACTCCCACGGCTCAGGCAGCTTCCTCGTGGCCGGGGTGGGGGGTACTCCTGAAGGGCTCCGAGGCCTCGGGCCTCTCTGGCTCCCCATCCCCCACCCCTCGCGCCCCGCCCCCTCCCTCCACCTCTTAAGTTTGCTCTTCAAACTTGCAGGACGCCATTCTGCTCTGGGGCCAAGAAAACAAGAGGGGGAAGGGAACAGGTTAAGGAAAACAAGAGACACAATCAGACCACAGAAAAGCCGGAGAAAAGAGGTCTATGGAGCAAAGGAATGTGGCTGTCCAGATAAAGAATGTTTGTCGTCAGGCCTGGCCCGCACTGAAAATTATAACTCACCTGCTTGCCTTTCCCTCAGGCCCCCTCCAGCCCCTTCCGCGTGGCTTTCGGCTTCCCACCTCCCTCTCGCCCTTTGGCTGGATCCAGGGCTCAGATAGGCACAGGGTCGGAGGGAAGGTCCAGAGATAACCCAGGGCTTTTCACTCTTGAAGAAGCATACCGCCTGTGTTCTTTATTTCTGCAAAGTTGCACCCTGGGCCTCTCTCCGGCCTCCTGGTGAGGGAGTCAGGCCAGGCACAAGGGTGGAGCCTTGCATAGGTGTGGAGAAATGGGGCCACGGAAAGGGATGGGGGGGAGTGGAGGGCATCCTGGGGGAGGAGTAAGCCATTCCCCGGGCGGCCCTGGCAGGCCCTGCAGTTACTGTCTGAGACACACAAGTTTACGTGTCTCAGGAGCTGTCATGTTCGTCTCGGGCCATGGTAGGGGCTCTGCTAGGTCAGATTTTGGAGAAAGGCCCTCAGCTCATCTGCAAGACGACTGGCCCCTCCAGCAGACGCCACACCCCCCTCGCACCTCAGTGCACCTCCAGGCCTTGTCTCCCTGCTGTCCACAGAGCGCTTATCCTCAGGGACTGGGCCGGGCAGCCGAGGCAAGGGCAGGGATGGGTGGCAGGCCCAGTACTAACATCTGCGGGGGGGGGCCCCCTTCTTTCCGCAGAGGTGTAAGGACAAGCTGAATGCCTTGGCCATCTCGGTGATGAACCAGTGGCCCGGTGTGAAGCTGCGGGTGACCGAGGGCTGGGACGAAGATGGCCACCACTCAGAGGAGTCGCTGCACTACGAGGGCCGTGCGGTGGACATCACCACGTCAGACCGCGACCGGAGCAAGTATGGCATGCTGGCACGCCTGGCCGTGGAGGCTGGCTTCGACTGGGTGTACTACGAGTCCAAAGCGCACATCCACTGCTCCGTGAAAGCAGGTGAGGCGGCAGGCCCGGCCTTCTCCCTAACCCCCGTGCCCATGAAGCCCCCCGACTCACCTAGCAGCTCCAGATCTGCCCATGAGATGTCACCATGGCGCCCCACGGTGGGATTCAAGGGAAAGAGACAAATGTGTGCGGGGTGGGGGGAGGCGGGAGGGGAAGGAGGGGCAGGGAGGGGGCGAATTGGGTGATAACCCCTGTCTCCGGTGCGGGAACACAGCCTGTAGAGGTGGGTCCCGCCCGCCAGGAATTGGCCCTACCTTTGAGGCCACCGAGGCCCGAGGTGCTCCAAGCCCAGATGCAGAGGGCATATGGCTTTCCTGAGCCTCCCCCGCCACCCTGTTTCCGGAGCCCCCACTGCAGGTGGGGGAGACAGGGAGGTTGGGGGAGGGGACGTTCCTGGTGCACTGGTAGCCAGGTCTGGCCTAGATTCTTCCTCTCATTTCAGGCTTAAGAATCAGCCAGCCCCTACTCGACCCCCCAACACAGGACGTTCTGCCCAGGGTGTGTAAGCTCCTGGTCCTCTCTCCTCCCCACTGAGCGTCTGTGGACGCTAAACTAACTTAACTCGCTGGCTAAGCCTTTGGGGAGAGGCCTGGTGGGAGGTAATAAATGCAGTGGTTACCGCTTCCAGCATCTGGAGGCCGCAAGCCCAGAAGCATCCGTCCTTATTAGGAGCCAGCTGGGCTGCCCTGAGCCACAGGCAGGGCCAGGAGGCCGATGGGAGTCTGCAGCTGCAGGCAGCCCATCCATGGGCTGGTGACTTCCCTGGGCCTACAACGCCACACGCTGTCACTGTCAAGGAACAGCCATGCCGGGGAAGGCGCTGCACCCGCAGCAGATAGCCCAACTCCGAGGTTATTTATGCGGATCTCTCCACCTCCCCGCAGAAGTTGATGCATTTAGCAGAACAGTTCACAGTGAATTTCGGAGGAACTGTGTCTTCCCCGCACCCCCTCCCCCGAGTTTTGCCTATTTGTCTCCTAAACTGTATTTTAGTAGCATGTGTTAGTGGAAAAACACTTTCAAGGTGTCAAGACACAGTTCATAGGGAAGGAAAAGAGTGGCTTCTTATCACAACAGAAAGAAAAGGTGTGGAAGGGGCGCGGGGAGGGGGCGGGCTGGGCTTTTGTAGATGGAGGCAGGGAGGCTGGGCAGGCGGCGCCCCCACTTCGCGGGGCTCCGCTGCGGAAGGTCCCGGGGCACACCCTTCCTGGGACCCCGCGGTTGCGCTCGAGGGGCGTTCGGCCCCCTCCTGGGCCAGCCCTGTCCCTGGGGACCCCCTGGCGTCCCTAGAGGTCTTCTCGCAAGTGAGCAGCGGTAATCCCGCGCCAGGATTCCGCCCGGGGAGGGCAGACCCCCAGGGCGCGGAGAGCCGCTCGTTGGCATTCGGCGCACACGGGCCGGGGCGCGGTGCGTTGCGTGTCAAGCAGGGTCGTGCGACTCGACGACTCGGGCTCGCCTGCGCCCCGGGTCGCATTCCGGGGGGCAACGGCGGGCCTCCAACGGCCAGGCCCGCACTTCATGCCGCGGAAACCGATGAGAAGATTAAAACCCCTCTGTAATTCCAGCAGGAAGATTCTTTCTCGCGATCTCTATTTGCAAAAAGCATGATCCCGGAGATTGGAATGCAAAGAAGACCGGGCTCTCCCCGCCCCTCCTCCGCGGCCCCCCGCTCGCCACCCTGGCTCCGATCATTGTCCTCGGGACAGTGAGCCTCAGAGATCGACAGAGGGCTCGGGAAAGCGGGTAGTCAAGGGGCCTTGAGAACCCGGCCGCTTCCAGGGCTTGGAGCAGGCCCCGCCATTTAAAATTCAAATACACATCTTGAGTGCTTGGAAGAGGCCTGGCTGTGCAAATAGTGCTTGTGAGGCCCGGGCTTCTGGAGAGCCCGCGTGTGAATCGCAGGGGGACTTGGGGGGGTGGTGCACCTGAGCAAATAGGGAGGGGGCGGCTGAGAAAGGGGAGGGGGGAATGGAAGTGGCCCCTCTTCCAAGAGTGTCTCCCATTTATTGCGGAGATCACAATGACAGTGCTGGGCCCTTTATTGGATTTTAATTAGAAAATCCACACAAGCCCCGGATTTTCACACCTCGGCCAATTCCCTGGAATGTTTGTCCAGTTGCTACAACTACTACAGCTATTTTGCACTCCCGCCCCTCTCCCAAGCCCCTGCAATGGGCCGGCACCAAGGTCCCCCTACTGGGCTGGGCGCTGGGGGCGGGCAGGCGAGGGGTTCCCGCCGCGCAGCCCCGGTGCGGGGCGCACGAGGGGGCGCCGCACCCCGCGCCGGGGGCGGGAAGAAAGGAGGTGCGCCCCGGCGCCCGAGGGAGCTCAAGGAGGCTTCCTGAGGAATCTAAGTGCAGAGCAAATACCCTGCGAATTCAGGGCGAGGCTGGGTGTGTGCTGATCCGGGGGGGGGGGGGCCGACGGGAGGAAGGCGGAAGGGAAAGAGTGTAACCGGCCTCCCGCCGGAGACGCCAGCCAACCTTTGTCACTGCCAGTCCAATCCTAAGAGAGTCGTTAAGGAATGCATCTGCATCTGAATTTTGTCACCGAGACGGTGGGGCTGACGGAGAGAGGTCTGCGCTGGGTCAGCCGGGACTCTCTCCCCGGAGCGGCGCGTGGCCGGAGTCTGGTGCGCGGGACGGCAGGCGTGCGCCCCCTGCCCGACTTGTGCCTCCCCGTGGGCGCTCACCACCCTGTCCCCTCTTCTCTCCCTTCTCCAACCCCCGCAGAGAATTCGGTGGCGGCCAAGTCCGGCGGCTGCTTCCCGGGCTCGGCCACCGTGCACCTGGAGCAGGGCGGCACCAAGCTGGTGAAAGACCTGCGTCCCGGGGACCGCGTGCTGGCGGCCGACGACCAGGGCCGACTGCTCTACAGCGACTTCCTCACCTTCCTGGACCGCGACGATGGTGCCAAGAAAGTCTTCTACGTGATCGAGACGCGGGAGCCGCGCGAGCGCTTGCTGCTCACCGCCGCGCACCTGCTGTTCGTCGCGCCGCACAACGACTCGGCGGCCGGGGAGCCCGAGGCGCCGTCGGGCGCGGGGCCGCCACCGGGGGGCGCGCCAGGGCGCCGGGCGCTCTTCGCCAGCCGCGTGCGCCCGGGCCAGCGCGTCTACGTGGTGGCCGAGCGCGGCGGGGATCGTCGGCTCTTGCCGGCCGCCGTGCACAGCGTGACGCTGCGTGAGGAGGCGACGGGCGCCTACGCGCCGCTCACGGCGCAGGGCACCATCCTCATCAACCGGGTGCTGGCGTCGTGCTACGCGGTCATCGAGGAGCACGGCTGGGCGCATCGGGCCTTCGCGCCCTTCCGCCTGGCGCACGCGCTCCTGGCCGTGCTGGCGCCCGCGCGCACGGACCGCGGCGGGGACGGCGACGGCGGGGGCGGCGGCCACCTGCCCCCGCCCG